ATGTGCTAGAGCATCGGTAAGGCTGGGAAATATTACAACTTAGTATGACGATTTAATCAACGCATTTTATTGAGCAATAGCAATATTACAAAGGCTGGGAAAGTCATCCAGCATGATACAATTCACTGATAAAAGATTCTGAGGTGTTCAATGTTCCATGGACGGGGTTGTGCCTTGCCGTCCATGTCTTCAATCCAGTAGGTTCCAGGTCGGATTTCTTCTCTGATCTTGTATGGACCTTCCCAGTTCGGTCCCAGGGAGCCGGAACCGGGTTCTTTTGAAGATGGAAAGACCCTCCTGAGCACGAGATCGTTGATTCGGAAAGACCTCTTCTTGACTTTGGAGTTGAAGTACCTTGTCATCTTCCTTTGGTAGGTGCCTAGCCTCAGCTGGGAGTCGTCCCTCCTCTCCTCAATGAAATCGTGGTCTAGCCTCCGAAGCTCGTCGTTGGTTACTTCTCTAAAGTGCAGACGCCGTGGAGATGGGAGTCCGACCTCCACGGGGCTCATCGCCTCAGTCCCAAAAGCCATGAGGAAAGGGGTCTCCCCGGTTGGTGTTCTGGTGGTGGTTCGGATTGCCCAAAGTGCTTGGGACAGCTCATCAACCCAAGCCCCCTTGGACACATCAAGCTTCTTTTTCAGGACGTGCTTGATTGTCTTGTTTACGGCTTCAACCTGGCCATTGGCTTGTGGGTGGTGAGGTGTAGAGAAGTGCTTCTTTATGCCAAGATCTTCACACAGTTCTCTAACCTTCTTGTTATCGAACTACCTACCATTGTCTGAGACGATCGAGTAGGGAATTCCGAACCGACAAATGATATTCTTCCATAGGAACTTGAAGGTGTTTGCTTCTATGATTTTTGCCAGTGGTTCAACTTCGACCCACTTCATGAAGTAATCAATGGCCACTATTGCAAAACTTGCACCTCCTCTATCCTTTGGTAGAGGGCCTATGAGGTCCACACCCCACTTTGAGAAAGGCTAGGGGCTGGAGACCGCAGTCAGATCCTGTGATGGTCGTCTTTGAACTGGAGAGAATCGTTGGCACTTGTCACATCTTCGCACAAATTCGAGTGCATCCCGTTTCAGGGTAGGCCA